TTGTGATTCCTGTCAGAGCAGTTGGTGGTGGTAGCTGGGCACCATCTAGTTGTGCTAGACTCAGTCTGGTAGAGGCTGTGGTAGTTGTAGTCCGTTAGTCCTTTGGACTAATCTTTCCCTTGTGTCTTTGGTTTTCTTCTTTCTCACTTACTCCATATGGGTGAGACTAGGGGAGTATCTTAGATGGCTGCTCACAAACTTTTAAAACCCCAGACGCTACTCACTAAAGTACAATGTAGAACATTTTCTTTATAAACTATGTTATGCCAATTGAGCTAGATGTTCCCCGAGACCACGGTCCCCAGAGCCCTCAGCCCAGTAATTTGGTCACTCAGGGAGTTTGGATGTGTCAATGGAGCTTCCAAGGACATGGTACTTTTAAGAGTGCAATAGAAAGATTAGAATTTAATGAGAACCCTTTAAAAGAGAAATGAGGGCACACTAATACCAGAATTCAAGACTAAAAAGCAATGGTATATAGTGATGACCAAATATCATGACTGGGAAAAAAATCTTTTCACTGTGTTTGTGAGAGAAACTGGTAATTCAGATGGACCTCCCCAGATAACTTTGAGACATAGAATAGAAAAAGTTTCCTGAGAGGTCATGTTGTAGAACTGCCTGTTAGAAGAAGAGAGCAGGAAATGATTCCAAAAGTCCCTCTAGAGATTACATGACAACATGGGGGTGCTTTTTGTATTTCAGGAGAAGAATCACGCCCTGGGAATTTGAAATCTTCTTCGACCCCAGGGAGCTCCGTAAAGAGACCTGTCTGCTCTACGAAATCAAGTGGGGCACGAGCCACAGAATCTGGCGAAACTCAGGCCAAAACACAACCAAGCACGCTGAAGTCAATTTTATAGAAAAATTCACCTCAGAAAGAAATTTTTGCCCATCAGTCAGCTGCTCCATCACCTGGTTCTTGTCTTGGAGTCCCTGCTGGGAATGCTCCAAAGCTATTAGAGAATTTTTGAGCCAACACCCCAATGTGATTCTGGTTATTTATGTAGCACGGCTTTTTCATCACATGGATCAACAAAACCGGGAAGGACTCAGGGACCTTGTTCTCAGTGGTGTAACTGTCCAGATTATGAGCGTTTCAGGTAAAAATAGCAAAGAATCTTAAGTGTTTTTGAGAGAATTCTGCGATATTATCTGTTTCTAAATCAGGAGATTGGTTATCCCAGGCTAGAAGTCTCAGAAGTGAAAATCCAAAATAATGCAAGAAAGGACAAGGTCTGCAACTTATGGCAAGGAAAGCATCAAAAATAAGACTCCTGTCTCCACTCTTGTCACTGTGGCCTCTCAGTCATCTTTAAATAAATCACTTTGTTCTTTTTAGGGATTCTGGAGAAGGCTAGCCCATCTCCATCAGTGAATATTCCAGAGGGTTGTATATACAATATAGTTTTAAGTTAGATCTCTCTTTAAGTGATTTATTGTTGTACTTGTTGAATGAACCAAAATTTGTGTTTCCTTAGAGTATGGTCACTGCTGGAGGAATTTTGTCAACTACCCCCCTGGGGAAGAAGCTCGCTGGCCAAGATACCCGCCTCTGTGGATGATGCTGTATGCACTGGAACTCCACTGCATAATTCTAGTGAGTTACTCTAAGGGACACAGATTCTGATACAAAAGGAAGCATCCTTCTTCAAACTTTCTTCCTGAGAATTTTAATATATACTCTCTCTACCATCTCTTTGGCATTTATGTTGAGATTTGACTGTTTAACTAGTTCACCTATTTTAAGGAAACATTAAAACAAGACAATCTTTTTTGAGAAATCAGTAGAAGAGAATGGAAACACTGGTCTAAGATATATGTGGACCCCATATTAATTCCATATAATTATATGGAATTAATTATTATTATTACAACACTTACAGGCTCTACAGTATTACGGACATTCTCCATTCCCATATATGTGTGTCTGTTACCCTACTGAAGAAATGAAGTTTTCCCATCTGTATTTTCTTGGAAGTAGTCCACGGTTTTCCAATTGATATTTTTCAACGTTTGTGGTAATAATAGTATTAATCAAAAATATCACCCTAACTTCTTTTTTTTATTCCAGGGTCTTCCACCCTGTTTAAAGATTTCAAGAAGACGTCAGAGTCAGCTGACACTTTTCAGCCTTACTCCTCAAAATTGCCATTACCAAATGATTCCACCCCATATCCTTTTAGCTACAGGCTTGATACAACCTTATGTGACCTGGAGATGAACAGAATGATTCCTTGTGTGTACTGTTTCAAGAACAGGCAGTGGTAAAACACTAAAGAGGGAGTGCCATTAAGAATCTAGAAATTTTTACAAACTTCAGTAACATGGATTATTTTAGTTGTATATTGTATAACAAATTACTCCAAAACTTTGTGGCTTAAAAAACAATAAATATTTATTATTTCCTACAGTTTTGTGGGTCAAGTATTTAGCACCAACTTAGCTGTGTATTCCTGGTTTGGGATCTCCCATGAGGTTGCAGTCAGGATGTCAGCCAGGGCTGCAGTGATCCAAAGGCTTGACTGAGGCTGGAGATCTGCTTCCAAGATGGCTCACTTGCATGACTGGCAAGTTGGTGCTGGTTGTTGGCAGCTGGTCTCAGTTTCTCACCACATAGGACTGCTTAGATGTCCTCATGACATGGCAGCTGGTTTCCTACAAACAGAGTGGTCTAGGAGAGACCAAGTAGGAAATTGCAATGTCTTTTATGACTTAGCCATAGAAAATCACACACTGTCTCTTCCACAGTATTCTATTGGCCACACAGGCCACCCATGGTTCACTGTGGGACTGCAAAAAGGTTTGAATCCCAAGAGGTGAGAATCACTGGTGGCCAGTTGGGGTTTTCACTATAGGGACTTTCGCTCTGTTCTCAGGGCAAGTAATTACAGGAAGTTAGTTTCTGAGAAACAGCTAGAGGAAAACAAGGCACGAAGTAGCATCTATTATTATTTGTTTCTGAATAATAGTGTCATAAATTTTAATAAATGATTTACTATTCAGAATTTATCAGATGATTTATCATTGTAATAACCACCCCAAAATTTCAGTAGTTTAACACAAAAGATTTAGTTCTTGTTCACGTCTCTGTCTAATGCAAGTTGGGTGAGGATGTTGCTGCTCTATGCAGTTACTCAGGGATCCAGACTCCTTCCATTTAGTGGCTCTACCATCTGCTATGGACTTGGAATCCTCTATTGGATTCTCTACATTCAGCCAGCATGAAGAAAGCAAGAAACAGTGTGAAAGAGTGTTTTTAGGGGCAAGGACTGAAGTGGCAAACATTCCTTTTGCCTCCATTACACTAATAAAATTTAGTCATGTGACTCCACCTAATTGTAAGGTAGACTGAGAAACACAGCCCAGCTGCGTACCTGGGGAGAAATGGAAACAGGGTTTGATGAACACATAGTGCCTACCACAATGAAAATACTAAGAAATTGTGAATTTATGCAACCTGGCCAAGGTCACATAGGGAATACCACAACAGAAATGGGGCTAAAAATCTTTGTGCATTTTTTCTCCCTGAGTTGGTTAGGATATGGCAGGAACCAACATATATAAATACATATAAAAAACTTTCATAATGGAATCAGATTGGCTCAGTCATTTGCCTGACTTGCCCTGCCTGGGTTGGTCTGGGGATAAGGCAGTCTCTTTATGGGTATAAATAGAGACTGTGTTCTATGGTGCCTCTAAAACCAAAAACCAAACCCATTGCCATCAAGTCGATTCCAACTCACAGCGACCCTATAAGACAGAGTTGAACTGCCCCATAGGATTTCTAAGGCTGTAAATCTTTACAGGAGCAGACTGCCATACCTTTCTCCCATGCAATGGTTGATAGGTTTGAACCGCCAACCTTTTGGTTAGCAGCTGAGCACTTAACCACTGTGTCACCAGGGCTCCTTCCTATGGTGCCTAGACTCTTTTAAAGATTCACACACTCATTATTCATGTTTTAGTCTTTTTTTTTTTTGTATGGAAATTCAGAAACTGGAAAACCATTTGAACAGCTGGAATAAAGTTTTCTTCTTTAATAGTCAAATATTCCCATTCTAATCAAACTTTCTGTAGTCATGGCTTGACAAATCAACTAAATTAGAGAAATTCTGAGGTAACCCCAGCACCCAGAAAACTAAAGTCCCACTGAATGCAATGGAAAACAGATGGATATCTTCATAGTTGCCTGAGATAATGGGGACGTTGGGATTACAATTGTCCTACAGTAAAAGATGCAATTTCTTACCCACCATGACAACTCCATTCTCAAAATCTAAATCTGAAATGACCTCATTTATCTATTATAGCTCCTTCACCATATTCTGGGTGCTGCCTTATTTGCTTGGATTGAATTTCATGGAATTCAGAATTTAAAAATGTAAGTTTACTGTAAAAATGGTTTAGCAAGGGTGTCTGACTTCCCCTAACTTCAAAAGTGGGAAGGAGAATCAAGATTAACAGCACAAGGCTGATTACTATGAGGCAGAGGTCAGACATACCTCCTCTCTCCAACCTTTTAAACCAATTCTGATGCCAATCATCCCTCCCACGGCAGGCTCTTCTTCTCTGCTGGGATGAATAATTTATTGCAATGGCTACACAGAACTCACAGACCATGCTCACAGTTGAGGTTTATTAGGAAAGTAACAGGTTACAATTCAAGTTCAGAAACACTCAGGATACAGTTCTTTCATCAGGACAGCCTCTTCTCAGCCATGCCCTTAGGCAGGTCTCTCTCTGGCCCTTAGCCCCTCAGCATGCCCTCTGCCCTGCTCAGGCAAGTGTTACAAAGCTCTTTCAGCTCTGCCATTAAGTACCCATAGGCACACCACTCTGCCAATAAGTTTTGGCCTAAAGGCACTCAGCTCTAGTGTCGTGGGTTGGCAAACCTAATCCCCCAAATTCCCAGAGGCACCCTACACAGCCAGCAAGCCTCTGCCTGAAGGCGGTTCCCAAGAAGCCCACTGCACCATCTCCTGCCAGCCTCCTGTGGGTCTTCTGGTTCTGCTGCCACCATTTCTCTGCCACTGCTTCTTGCCGTCTCTGGTGTTACAGCTCTCTCTCTCTCTCAGTCTCTTGGCTCCAAGAGCTTCTCAGGGCCGGGATCCCAGGTCCGAAGAACATGCTCCACTACTGGCTTTTCTTTCTTGGTGGTGATGAGATCCTCCCTTTTTGCCTCCAGGATGGCTCATTTTAAGCCTAGCGGGATGGCAAAACTGACCAATCCCCTCGTTAGAGTTCCAAACACCTTATTTGCATGGCCCCACCTCCCCACAGCTGCCATGGACTTTATTTGCACTATTAACGAGCGATTCAATCCTCTTGGTGGGCCACAATTACATTATTTGCATAGTCCTACCCAATTACTTGGGTGGGAGTTACAAGACCATGGCAAGAAAGTCCATATAAAAGCGATCCATCACACCGCATTTACAGACTGATTGTCTCTACCCAGTGTACAACTCATTGTGTGAAAAACAACCCAAGTTAATGCACATCATCCGTGAACTTTCAAACACAGGTTTAAAAACAATCCTAAAACGTTACTGAAAGAAACAAAATAAAACAAAACATTGTGGTCAGACTTCTCAAAAAGCAATACTGGAAATTATAAGACATTTGACCAGAACCTTTAAAATTCTGGAGAAAAATATTTTCTAGCCTTGACTTCTATACTCAGACAAATTACTTAGTGTGAATGGGGAATAAAGACTGTTTCAACATGCAATGTCTTAAAACAATATTATTTCCCATCCACCCTTTCTGAAGCTACTAGAGGGTTTGCTACACCAAAATGAGGGAATAAACCAAAAAAAGAGGAATGTTGGTGATGGTTGCACAGCGTGGTGAAAGTAATTAATGACACTGAATTGTACATGTAAAAATGGCTGAAATGGCAAATGTTTTGTTATATGTATTTTACCACAGTAACATAAAAAAAAAAGAAATGCTTTGGTGCTCCACGGAAGCTAGGTATTTGCTTAATCATTAACATCTACTCTGACTGGTGGGTCACAGTGACATTTTGGATCTCCCAGAATTAGTGTCAGTTCAGAACCAGTGTCCAGTAATCACTGAAAAGTCTGATTATTTCCTTTTCCTCGTAGAACTGGCACTCTCATAAAAGGCTGTAGATCCCTTTGGGAAAGGCTGGGAGAAAGAGTAACACTACAAATGTCTGGCAGTGCAATGGGGTCATCCTCAAGGAGATCTGGCATCCCTTTCATTCAAGGGGTTGTGGGTCTGTAAACAGGCTGAAGTCTGGGGAATTGATTGAGGAGCTATGACTCTCTATTCTGGCAATTCAAGTTAGACTGACGTTCACTTGACCTAGAATTCTTCCACTTGTAAAGATCAAGTAAACATTTAGTAGATTTCCCATCTATTTCACTCCTAGAGACACCATGACTAAGTAGCCAACGCCATAAGTCTATATGAGTCAGACTATTCTGACTACTACTTTGACTCTGTCGCCCTTTACGGTAACCACACCCACCTTGTCTTTGTTGATTAAGTGCGGCCACTTCGCTCCCACCACCATGGGGTCCAGTCAGTCCCATTGTAGTTAGATGTCTTAATTCAATTAGGGTAGCTCCCACTGTCAAATCTGACTTACATAAAATAGCAATCACAGCAGTCTTCAAGGACGCTGGAGCTCCCTTCACAAATTTGTTCCTCACAGTTGTAGTAAAAGGTGTGTCCTCTGGACACTCCACAGGTGGGTCTGTAGGTTTAACCTGATAAATCCACTCTAGCATGCCAATTTCCCTAAACTTTTGGATACCTTCTTCTACAGTATACCAAGGCAGGTCTGCATTTCAGCTTGATTTAGTGTAGGCCACCACTTAATCCCTGCTTCAGTGAACCAACCAAATAGCCTATTAGATCCTTTTCTAACTTCTCAAGCTGAAACACTGAATGAAGAATCTGTGTTTAGTAGTCCCAAAGCAATAAACTTAGGTTGATCCAACTTTATGTTCCTTGCACCATTATCCCACACCCTTAGTATCCATTCTCACACATATTCCCCTGGTTTCTGTTTGTATATATTAGAAAAATCAAGCAGTTATTTGGAGTGTAACATACCACCTCCTGGGTCACACTTTGTACTTCGCCTCTTGGGACTCACTGGGACACAAGTCTAGTTATAGATCTAGAAGCAAAAATGGATGGTGGGTGTGGGTCCTGGGTACATTCAACAATGTCTTGTAAGGCATTTGCCTCAGGCAATGCCCCAGGCAAGACCCCAGGCATCACCCCAGGTGATATCTGGGACAAAGACTCTTTTGGCACAGCTGTGTTAAT